AGGAGCCCACACTGAGCCCTGTTCCCTTTTTTCCCCAGGGCCTGGCACGGGTCAGGATGGCCAGTGATGCCGTGGGGGTGGTGCTGAGGGAGCTGAAGCAGCAGAGCCCCCTCGGAACCTTCCGGCTGCTCGTGGCCGTGGACGGGGTCAACGCACTGTGGGGCCGCACGACGCTCAGGAAGGAGGACAAGAGCCCTGTAAGGATGGGGCTGGGGGTCTCTGCTGCCCTGCTGACAGGGACAGGGGCAGGGGAGGGGGTTTTGTGCAGCTTCAGCTCATCAGTGATCTCTGGGAGATGCTCACTCCCTGCCAGGCCCATGTTTTTAGGGAAGGACAGTCCCTCCCTGCCAGGCCTGTGTTTTTAGGGAAGGACAGTCCCTCTCTTGCCAGGCCCATGTTTTTAGAGAAGGAAGGTCCCTCCTGAAGGCAGAAGAGCTGGGGGGTGTTGTTAGAGCAGCAAAGGCCTGGGGGGTTCCCTGTGCAGTGATGGCTCAGGCTCGGAGCTGCAAGGACGAGGGAAAAACCTGCCTGAAGGACACTGAGGATCCTCCAGGGAAAACCTGCCTGAAGGACACTGAGGATCCTCCCAGGGAAAAACCTGCCTGAAGGACACTGAGGATCCTCCCAAGCTGACTGGAGGGAGGGGAGGGGGATTCCTGTGTCAGGCAGAAGCTGCTGGCAAAAAAAAAACCCCAAAGCTGATGTGTCAAATGTTCCCCAGGTTTCTCCGGAGGAGCTGACACTTGTGCACAACCTGAGGAAGATGATGATGAACGACTGGGTGAGTTCCAGGCTGGGCCTTTTGGGGTGTCACTCTCAGCCACTAAAGCCACCCCAGGCCCAAAGGCCACAGGTCCTGCAGCCCAGTTGGGTCTCCACCAGTGCTGGTGTCTCATCAGTGCTTCTGGCATCACCCAAAGAGAAGGAGAACAGCTCAAATCCACAGCACTGCCTGATTCCTGTGCCAAATTCCAGTGTGGGACCCCGAGCTGGAGGTGTTTGATAGCCCTTAGGACATCTGGGTTTATGATTTTTTTAACTGATTAGAAGTTTTAATCCCTGAAGGTCAACTCCTCCTCCTGCTTTTTCAGTCCCCTGGATGCTCAGAGCTCCAACAGTTGGGCTTCAGATTTAAAGGTCCTTTTTAAAAAAGCCTTTCAGTTGTTTGCAAACAAAACCATTTACAGGTAAGAGATGTTTAAATGGCAGTGCTGGGAACACAAGCTGTGTGTTCCCTGTGCCCCCATGGAGCTGGAGCAGCAGAGTTAATGTGGTCAGGAGCATTTTAAGTCCATTTTATAGAATTTTGGGATTGATGTTAGATCAAAGAATCACAGAATCCCAGACTGGTTTGGGTTGGAAAGGACCTTAAAGCTCATCCAGTCCCACCCCCTGCCACGGGCAGGGACACCTTCCACTGGCCCAGGTTGCTCCAAGCTCCATCCAGCCTGGCCTTGGGCACTTCCAGGGATCCAGGAGCAGCCACAGCTTCTCTGGGCAACCTGTGCCAGGGCCTCCCCACCCTCACAGCCAAGAATTCCTTCCCAACATCCCCCTTAGTCAGTGGGAAGCCATTCCCTGTGTCCTGTCCCTCCATCCCTTGTCCCCAGTCCCTCTCCAGCTCTCCTGGAGCCCCTTTAGGCCCTGCAAGGGGCTCTCAGCTCTCCCTGGAGCCTTCTCTTCTCCAGGTGAACCCCCCCAGCTCTCCCAGCCTGGCTCCAGAGCAGAGGGGCTCCATCCTGGAACCTCCACGGCCCGCTCTGGACTTGCCCCAGCAGCTTCATCTCCCGAGAAGGAGGTTCCTGGTGGGTTGATTGTGAAGCAGAGCCGTGCTTGCAGCTCTCAGGGTTTGTTTCTGCCCTGCCTTTCAGAGTGGAGGGGCTGTTGTGACCACCCTCAGCCAGACGGGCTCGCTCTTCAAACCCAGCTCTGCCTACCTGCCCCAGGAGCTGCTGGGCAAGGTGAGTCCCGGGGCCTCCTTTGGGGTTGCTTTGGTTTTATTTTTTCCTCTTGGCTTCGGGAAACAAAACCCCTGGTTGGGGGCCCAGGTTCTGTTCAGGGGGACAGACTGTGCTGTGTGGAGGGACAGCTCCAACCCCTGCTCTCTCAGGACCCAGGGAAGGGCTGGAGCTGTGTCAGGGCAGGCTCAGGTTGGATCTCAAGGAAAGGTTCTTCCCCCAGAGGGTGGTGGGCACTGACCAGGCTCCCCAGGGCAGTGGGCACAGCACCAAGGCTGCCAGAGCTCCAGGAGGGTTTGGACAATGCTCTGAGGGACAGGGTGGGATTGTTGGGATATCCTGGACTGGATGATCCTTGTGGTTCCCTTCCCTCAGGATATTCCACGACTGAACTCTGCTAAAGGTTCACATCAGCTACAAAAACAACTGCTGGATGTGTTTTCTTCTTTCTCCTCCATCTTTCAGCTAAATTTGTAAAAATAAGTATTTTGGAAGTAGTACAGAGTCAGTAGAAAGCTTGAAGTGTTCAACAGCCCTCTTTGTTAGAAAGCTGGTCAGTGAATTTTCAGAAATGTGAAAATATCCATTTATTTCTCATAGTGAATGAATTGTATTAAACCAAATAGGTATTATTAAGCAGAATTGTTCAGATCTAAGATAAAACCTGTACTACCATAAAATGACATATCCTGTTTAGCTTCCTTACACCAACTAATTCCTGAGCTACAGGTCCTTCAGAACTTTCTGGTGGGCTGACTGGAGGAGAAAGTCCAGCATCTCCTCTGCCTCCTCCGAGGGCTGCTGTGCTTGGGTTGTTGCCATGGAAATACGACATCTTCGACTTTCTTTTGGTCCTTTCCCAGGCAGGGGATAAAATTAAGCACCTGTTGGAAGGAGAATTCCTCATGGACATTATCAAGTCACTCAGATACAATTGCATAAGTGACTGGAAAGTGCTTCTCCTCTGTGTTCAGAGTTACTCACAACTGCACTGCAGGATTGTAACAACCCCTGTTTCTTTATTCACCTTGGAGGGGAAACATCCTTAAATTAAGGCATGTTTTTCCACACCTTAGCAAATAAAAGGCTGCAGGAAAGTTCCTTCTCAAAGCTCCAGCTCTGCCTGCACTGGGTTGAGCAGAATCACCCCCCTGTTTAGGGGGCTGTTTGTGGACATACATCTATCCAGGTTGTGTCCAGCTGTTACTCACCCAGCCTTCCCTCCCTTCCCCCTTCCCTAGGAGGGGTTTGACGCCCTGGACCCCTTCGTGCCCATCCTGGTGCCCAACTACAGCCCCCGGGAGTTCGAGAGCTGCTACGGGTACTACCTGGAGCGCAAGTGGCTGCAGCACGAGCAAGGTCGGTGCCCCCGGGGCTCTGCCCGCCCTCTCTCAGTCTCTCCCAATCTCTCTAAATCTCCCTTTCTCTTCCTCTCTCCCCCAGCTCGCACGGAGGACGGGAAGGCGGAGCTGCAGTTCCTGAGCGGCTCCAACCCGCGGCAGCTGGACCGGCTGGCGGGGCCCCTGTAGGGCAGGAATGGGGCTGGGACCCTTCCCCTGCCCCCAGCACCGCGGGCTGGGGGGCTGCTCCCTGCTCCGCGGGGGAAATCTCCCCTCCCGGTAATTACTGTGCAAATTTGGTATTAAACAACGGCCTTTCCCAAGAGGATTTTACACGTTCCACGTTCTGCCACACCGAACTGGGGCGTCTGACACCCGACTGGAATTCTGGTTAGCACGTTAAATGTACACGGGGGCGTTCCAGGCAAACCGAGCCCGGAGGGAACGAAGCACACGCGTGGAATAAATCAGCCCGCACAGGCGTGGGGAGGGCAAGGTTTTGCCGATCCCCAAAGTTTATCCCGTAAAGGAGCAACCGCGATTTTCGTTTCCTCAACGGGTTGTTATTTCAGCTCGTTCTCAGCCCGGGAGCGCGCGGGGAAGGAATGTCACGGGGAATTCTGAACCCACCGGTGGTTGTTCGCAGCCAGGGGGGACATCCCAGGGAATGTCACGGGGAATTCTGAACCACCGGTGGTTGTTCGCAGTCGGGCAGCTGTTTCCCTTCCTGGTGTCCTCTCCCAGGGAATTCTGAATTACCGCCGGTTGTTTGCAGTCGTGCGGTTGTTTCCCTTCCCGGTGTCCCCTCCCGGAGATGTCACGGGGAATTCTGAACCACCGGTGGTTGTTCGCAGCCAGGGGGGCACATCCCAGGGAATGTCACGGGGAATTCTGAATCACCGATGGCTGTGATTCAGAATTCCCTGGGAGGGGGAACATCGGGCAGTTGTTTCCCTTCCCAGTGCCCCCTCCCAGGGAATTCTGAATAACCGATGGTTGTTCGCAGTCATGCGGTTGTTTCTCTTCCCGGTGTCCGCTCCCAGGGATGTCACCGGGAATTCCCAATCACCGATGGTTGTTCGCAGCCAGGGGGGCACATCGGGCGGTTGTTTCCGTTCCCGGTGTCCGCTCCCAGGGATGTCACTGGGAATTCCGAATCACCGCCGGCTGTTGGTGGTCGGGCAGCAGTTCCCGCTGACAGTCGGGCGGTTGTTTTCCTTCCCGGTGTCCGCTCCCTGGGAATTCCGAATCACCGCCGGCTGTTGGCGGTCGGGCAGCAGTTCCCGCTGACAGTCGGGCGCTGTTTTCCCCCGCCGGTGTCCCCTCCCCGTCCGGGGCGGTGCCGCTGACGCTCCCGGTCCGCGCCGTCGCTCGGTGCGATGCCGGGGGAGGCGGTGACGCTGCAGCTCGGGCACTACTCGGGCTGTGTGGGCGCGCACTGGTGGGGGCTGCAGGTACCGGGGGGGGCCGCGGGTGCCGGGGGGGTACTCGCGGGGCTCTCTCCGACCCGTTCCCTCGCTTTTTCCCGGTTTTCCCCCCTTAGGCCGCCGCGCTGCGCGGCCCCACCGAGCCCGCCGAGCTCCGCGCGTCCGCGCTGCTCCGCCCCGGGCGGGGGCCCGGCGGCACCGAGACCCCCTCGCCGCGGCTCGTGGCGCTGGAGCTGAAAGGTACCGGGGGTGGGCGGGGGTCTGGCAGCCCCTCCGTGCCCGGGCATCGCCGTGCCGGGGGCGGCATCACCGTCCCCGGGGTGGCATCACTGTGCCCGGCAATCACCGTGCCCGGGGCGGCATCACTGTGCCCGGGGTGGCATCACTGTGCCCGGGGTGGCATCACTGTGCCCGGGGCACTGTCACTGTGCCCGGGGCGGT